TTTTTTTTTTTTTTTTTTCCGTAGCCCTCTTCTATGATATTATTTTGGCTTAGTATCACCGGACGGCCCCCTTTTCCATGGCCCTCTTCTCTGATATTTGTTGTATGGTCTTTTCAAGGGCCCCTTTTCCATTATTACCTTCTTCAATGATATCATTCATGCATAGTATCCCCCAAGGACCCCTGTTTTCCTTTCGTTGTTTGCGAACAAAATTGTACATTTTGCAGCCAACATACTTCTCTGAACATTGTGTGTCCTAGAGTCTTCCATTTAGATTCTGCAAATTATATAGTAGGTCTCATGGAAAACAAGAAGCAACATCATCGTCTGGTTGTAAATTGAGAGCTCTGGAAAAAGCACCGGTTGAAAATTGTACGTTCTGGTCTGATTGTCAATAGTAGGTTTGTGTTGTAAATCATACCGCCCGCAAGTTTCATAGCAGACACAGCTTCAGCATGAAGCAGTCCTCCGCTTTCCTCGCGGCTTCAGCTTTTAGTCTGGCCTCCTCACGAGAAATTGGGGATAAGGTGGTATGCGAGCATCCGATTAGGTGGAAGACAGCACCGGCACATAAATCCTGATGCACAGACAAGAGCTTACAAGCATCCCCCGCGCCTCTTCTGCAGCCTGAGCTGCAGCTTGAGCAGCCTTGGCCGCTTCCTCTGCCTTTGCCTCGTTTCGACAAACTTGCCCAAGGTATAGCAATGCACGGCATACATTGGGAAGAGAGCGTCACCTTCTCCCTCTTCTCCTTGTCTACTTCCTCATCTTCCTCGTAAGAGTAAGACCTCGCGTGCCAAGTAAGCGGGCTGCAAGGCGAAAAGACTTGGCAGCAGACTTGGCTCCTGACTCCGAAGATCCCAACACAAACAGCTCCGTGTTGGGCACGGCCTCCACCTCCTGTGGACGACTGATGCGACTGATGCATTTGAGTCTGGGTGAGGGTAGTGAGGATCGCAGTGACATCAAAAAAACACATCACAAAGCAAGAGCTTCACGGACTCTCTTCGCCAACTAACTTCTGGCCTCCTCCTCCTCTGTGGCCTTCTTTGGTGCCATCTCCTCCTGCATTGCTTCAAGCGCCTGACCATGCACCTACTGCTCCACACTAGTTTCTTGCGAGAACTGCAGAGACCTGGCAGCCACAAGAGGCAACCGAAAACTTTGCCTTCTGGGCTGCCAGCTGTCGGCTGTCTGGCTTTGCAGGCTTCGCTGGCTTCTCAGCCTTGCCCTTCTCGGCCTTGCCCTGTCGCGGGTTGCAACCCATTTCTGTTTGCAGCTTCGCAATTTCTTAGCAGGTCAGCCTCTCTTTTTTCTGGGAACTTAGTATGTTACAATAATGTGCATATATACTAAATAATGGGGTTTCCCCAGTATAGTAATTCAAATTAAGTTCCTTAACAGCAACCCAGTTTTTTCAGGCCAAATCGCTCCTGAAACCAGAATTCACTGATTAACCGGCTGCACCTTCTCCCGATTAGAATATAGTATAGTGTCCATTGTCTTTTCCATTATCCCTATATAACCCCTATAAAATCCCTACTTCATCCCTATATAATTCCTATATAACCCTGTATGATCCTTATATGATCCCAACATCATCCCTAATATAACCTTTATATAACCCCTAGAAGACCCCTGGCTGCACCTTGTCGGGGTCAGGCTTTCTTCTACGATGCCTCGGCCTCAGCTCGGGCTCAGCTTACCAGTATGTAGTAATAATAAAAATAAAAAAAATAATGAGTAATAATAACAAAAATAATAACAGCAATAATGGTAATCGTAATCATAGTAGAGTAATAATCATATTAAAAAAAGTAAATATGCTTAGACCTTCGATCCCATGAGGTCACACCTGCGAGAGCGGCTGCGAGATCCACGGCCGGGCCTCCTGGAGCGTCGAGAACTTAAGAAAGGTCATCCCATTTTCCAACACCACGGCAAGACTGAGGCCCGTACTCACGGCTATCATTATCCCATCTGGAGCGTCGGCGACGGCGGTGCGCAGCATCGCCTGCAACAAAACGTGCGGGACCTACAAGATCAAAAGTCGCGCAGATCCGTAGTAGCAGCGAACAAGCAAGACTGCAGAGCAAAATACTTCATGAGACTAGCTGCAGTGAGGGTCATATCAGTCCAGACATGTAAATCCCGAAACGGCCAAACCAGAAGTCAAGGAGCTAAGCTAAAACGAATCAGGCCGGAGAGGTGCCTCGGTCCTGCTCGCGAGGGCGCTTCTCTGGTTCCTCCAAGCCCCCCAGCAAACAAGCACAAGCAAGTGATTGGATGAACATGCACAAAAATGATGCTAAACCTGTGCAGACCGCCCCGTCTCCATCCAAACTCTCTCCCGTTTTCTATGTACTATGGATGACTGTGGGGTCACCTTTGGAGCCTCTGCCAAAGCCAGTGGACAGGATCGCCTCGTGCAAGAACCCGCTTGGAACGGTGCATTGAGGACATGTCACCCCGCCAGAGCAGTAGCTGCAATCAATTAGCGCCATCTAATCTAATCAGTAGACTCGATGAGAAAAGCGGTCTTGAGCAAAACCGCCCAACAAACATCACAGCTACAAGAGTAGAAATGACAATACTGTCAGCAGCCTAAAGAACAACACTTTACCATACTGTACTAACCAACAATACAAGATGCAGCGTGCCCTAAGCCAAAAGCCTCACACCGGCAAAGATAAGGTGGATACTGTAATTCCTGCATTACCTAATAATTTGGGAATTGTGCGACTACAAAACAAGGAGGTCATGCAGGACTTCTAGTATCAACAGCAGTGTAACAGTCTGAATGATTCGCGTTACTATGCAAAACAGCTGGGACCGGTGCTCGCCGCGTCCTTCCCACACAATAGGCGCCTCCTCGGAAAGGCCCAGGATCCCCTCATTTCCTTTTAGATACAGTACCATGTTACTTGACTTTAGGCGCGCACAATTTGCATGTAAAAAGTTAAGTAGAATTGGACAGGCGAGGGGTGACCTTAGGAAATGCCTACCCACAAACATACACCCCCCTCCCAGCACACCCGCCCTCGGCTGATAATGGGCACTCCCTGCATTGCACAACTAGAATTAACGCCGGTTGTAGAGATACACACAGATCTGCCATGACATGTGGAATGGGAAGGTATGTCGCAGTGGGCTCCTCCTCCTTGGGCTTCTCATTGGCTGCATCAATGAGCTCTTGGGGAATCTCCCTGCTCAGGCATGGTTGCAAGACTACCTCCATAGCAAAACTTGATAGTTTCCGAACAGTTTCCATTTCATGTTCCATGTCCTTTGATTCTCTATTACTGGGGTATACTAGCCCTATCTAACCCTACATAACCCTGTTAGAACCCTATGTATACAGTAGTATCCCTATATGATATAACCCCATATCCTTTGGCAGAAGGGAACGGCGCACTCCCCAGCAATCTGGGCGGCGGCCAGCTTAGCCTGTTCCAAGGCAGCGCTTGAAAGCTCACGGAAGAGAGGGTTTAGGGGTTAAGGCATAGGGTTAAACAGGGACGTCGTAGAATAATGGAAAGTCCAATGGAAAAGATCATTGAAAATGAAATGGAGACTGGGATGAGAGGGGATCCTAGGACTCAAAATTTCCCCAAATAATTTTGGTCTTGGGTTCCTTGTTCAGGAATATTCAAGGGATTCATGTCGACAGTAGCTCATGCATCGACCGCATGCAGAAGTCCTCGCACGACCTTGAATCTTGACAAACTTTGCGGGCTGGTGCTTAAGGGAGAGTGGGGAAGTGGATCCCTATAAGAATCCTTGTATAATCCCCAAAAATACCCCTATGGTGGTACCTATAATAATCAGCCCCCCACTCCCCATTAAGCACCAGTAAGTTGCGGGCTGGTGCTGCCTTGGCCAACTTGGGGTTCAAGTGGCACCTCACGCGCTTTAGGGTTTAGGGGTTTGGTGTAGGGTTTAGGGTTTAGGGGTTTGGTTTAGGGTTACGACAAGGGTTTAGGGGTTTGGTTTAGGGTTTAGGGTTTAGGAGGTATCAGCTGAGGTTTCCCAGCCTGATAATATACCACATAATAGGTTCCATTTCTTTTCCATTATCCCTAGATAACCCCTATATGACCCCTCTAAAAACCCTATATAAACCCTACACAATCCCTACATAATTTCCTGGAAGACTGGGAAGAAAAAAAGGCCTCTTTTCTGATCAAGCTCAAGCTCTCTCCTGTTGGCCTCGCTGCACTCCGGCAGCTAGGCAAGACTGGGTTCCTGTTAAGGAACTTAAATTCAGTTACCATAATGGGTATATATAGTAAATAACAGGGTTTCCCCAATATGGTAACTTAAATTAAGTTCCTTAACAGCAACCCAGAAGACTAAGAGGAGGTCCACGAGGTTTCTGTCAAATGAGCCTGCTTCAAACTCCTCATGCCTCACAAGCATGGCAACCCCACAGTTGTCATGTACTATATAGTAGTTCACATGTTCTCTTCCATTATCCCTAAACAACCCCAATATGTACCCTATAATCCCTAAAATAACCCTATATAATCCCTATGTACAAGGCTCATGTGTTCCCCCGCTCGCTTGGCGCAGCGACTTCTAGGCGTTGTTGCTTCAACATAATTTGCATGAATGGCAGACACTGTCCACCTCTTCTCTTGTTGGATGGTCTCTAGACCATTAGGTCTGCAACGAATTAGATCTATTTGCTCTTTGGCAAACGCTCCCTGGCGTCTTTGGGTCGGGGTTTGTCACGGCGTTTTAGGCGCTTCATTGGTCTAATCTGGGCCGTGACGCGGATCGCTTGCAAATTCCAGCACACAGCTGAATTTGAGATGAGCGTAGCCCTTATTCGGATCGGCAGCGGCTCCTATACCCAGAACAAACATCCGCAAGACAGAGTTGCGAGGCACTGTGAGAAGCGATTGGTCAGGCCCAAATGATTACAACCACACATGTGATGCGATACTCATTCCGAACATATGTGCCAATTGACCAAAAACTGTGTCTCAAGAGCGTCCCCTGCCTCAGTCAACAAAAATGTCCGGCAAAGACGCAAATCCACCGCAGGCAACGGGCAGCCCAATCGGTACGGAGGGCTGCAAGGTGAAGCGGCAGTTGTCGACGATGACATTAGGATTCCCACCTGAAACGCGAGGCGGTCGAGGACATTGGAGCACTCATGATGGGGATCTCCTCATATTGGGGAACACCTATAGGACGGTCATGTTGATAAGCAACCAGGGGATGTAGATAACGATAGTTCTTGCAAGTCCGAACAGATTCGTCTACGTGCCATCTGGAGACATAGGTCGCGAAGCTGGCGCAGCAACCATCTGTGCACACGATCACAATGGATGCCTTTCTTGTCAACCTTTCGGAAGACTCCTGCATAAGTCATGCCGAAGCTCATGTCGCGGCAGTGGAATCTGAGCTAGGAAGAAAAAACTGTCCTCGACCAGGCTGAGGCAGGACAAAATCCTTTTAAAACTCATGCGCAGAAAAGAAAAAAAACTGAAGCTCTGACCCATTGAATCACCGTGTGCCAGACTCAGCAACCTAATGCCGCCCAAGCAGCAGGATCCAAGAACGTGTGTTTCAGTATTACCTCCACATGAAAAAGAACATCAAAAGTCTGTGCAGCGTGGGCATTCGGCACGAAGGAACAAAACTCTGCCCTGTCCGAGGCCTTTTCTCTGGCATCCAGCAGGACAAGCCGCTTTGAAGCTCGCGGATCGCATTGCATGGCGACCTTCAGGGTAAGGCTTGGTTGAATGGTGGAAGGCCGACCCAACCAAGTAGCGGACGTGACGGCATTGCGAGCACATCTTAAGCTGTGTGACAAAATGCCTGCATGCTGCTCCAAGCATACTCCTGCAAGAGGTGAAGAAGGCCCAGACACTGGCGGAAGCCATCATCTACATGGCACAGAAGGTCCCTGTCCTCCGGCGTCATGTTAAGGTTGAGCGTTGCTCTCCGCTGCAATTTCGGAAGGGCCCAGAGCTGGCTCTCCGCGCCATGGCCATGGTGCAGCCGGCCCAACTTGCCTTGACTTGCACTCGCAGGATCGTGCTCGTGTGTATCCCGGCAATTTGGGGCACACCTTGTGAATTTTCAATTGTGCTGTCGTAAAGGTTCTATCTTGGAAGCCAGGCCGCGCACAAAGTCCTTGGCTGCCAAAGTTGTTAAGAGCATTCCGTCTGCTAACTGCAAAAATGCTGAGTTAAGGATCCTAATATAACTGGCACGCTGGTTGAACTGGAATCTACTACACTATGGTACCCTGACTGCAAGCCTGAAGGCAGCATGTGCATCGCTGCATCCAAGGTACGGCCGCTAAGGCACAAGGCACCTCAACTTTCTCCTTCTGCTCTTGATGCTCCTAGCCGGGGCAGCATAGATGCCACAGATGCAAGAGGCCTCGCACGGTTCTTCCTGCGTGTCCCTGTAAACTGTGTAGCTGCAGATAGCAGCTTCACCACGTTCAAAGTCGATGACAAATTCCGGTTCAACAGGTCCTCGGCTTGCGCTCAGCTAGGCTGGAAGCAGACAAGCAGATGCAAGCAGTAGAATGATGAGGCTTGATCGATGCTTGCTGACAAAGTCATCAGTGGTGATCATCAGGACCAAGGGCCACTTGGGCAGATTCCCAGTGCGTCCCACCCTCAGCTCCAGGCACAGTGACATAACAACACAAACTCTGGAGCGCTTTTGCTTTGCCCTGATCTGGGGCTGTCACCGCTCTGAGGCAGAGCAGAAGCTACGGCTGACTGTTCGAAGTGCTGTCAGCGGAGTGCCCTCATGGCAAAGCTGCATCAGCGCCTGCAGGTTGAGGATCAAGTGAGGGTTACATCAGGATGGGGCGTGCAACTTGGTTTGCATCAGGATGATGCAGAGAGCACACAAGCAATAAGAATCTTGGAATCGTCCAACTGATGGCAAGAGCGCTGCCTCCAGTGCTGGCCCAGCAGCCACCACCTCTGGCGCGCAGGGACCCAGAGACCTGGAACAATCGCTATGGGGATTTGTGCCACATGGCGCACGTGGATTACCCCTATAGGGTTACATCTCTAGGGTTACAGAGGGGTAGAAAAGGTTATGTAGCTTAGAGTTAGGGCCCTTTTTGGGTATAACATGGGCGTATATAGGGTCATATAGGGTTGCATAGGGTTATATGAGCTTTGTATGTTGGGGAGTTATGTCAGGCTTGCATCGCCTTGCAGGATCCTGGAAATTTGCGTTTGTGCTGTGACTTGTCATGCGAAGTATGGCAGCCAGGCAGCCTTTCATCTGCGAGCTTGCCATCATCCTCTAAAGGCACAATTGTGGCCTGAAGACCAGAAGGCGCAAAACAGGAGACAGGAAAACAGCGCAAGAAAACAACTCTCTGGGAGTCGTCCCTAGGCCTTAAAGATCACTAAAGTGTACGATGCCGCATGTCTGCTGCCCTCCCTTCACCGCTTCACTTCGGCAAAACCTTCTTGCACACGGCATTGAAAGGATCAGTAGCTTGCTGGCCTGGCTCTCGCTTGTGCCCAGTGGGCTCTTGGGCTGTTTCGGGGTAGGCATCGCTGGCTGCTATCTTGTGGCAGCTTGAAGCGGCGGGCAGCGGCACAGGTTTTTTGGGCTTTGTGACATCTGCCCCGTCTGGAGCTCCATACGGTGCATCTGCACAGCAACTGCAGCAGAGCGAGCAGGGTGCCAAGCACAGAACCAAATTAGAACCACTGGGTAGCCGGGGCCCAAGCTGGTATGCTAGCACGACCTCGGGCGTTGCAGCGTTAAGCTCATAATATGAGGTATGAATCATGAACATGTATGAACATGCCTGACAGGCACTGTGGGCTTCAGTACTTCAGGTCACAGACCTTCATGGTTGTGGTGTCAAAGGCAGGCTGGTTGAAGTGAACGCCTGCAGCGACATGTTTGGAGGGCGTTTTTTGTCAGCCTGAGCCCGTGACTACGAGCACAAAAGAGACCAGGCTCATGGCTCTGCTCTGCGAAAGAGGTTGTGTCCACCATGGTTTTGGCCTGGCTGTCATCTCTGATGCTTGCGTTCAGGTACACATGGAAACCTTTCACATGCGTGCTTCGTCGCAGAAGCCCATGATTTCCACTCATGGTGGTTGCGGAGTGCCCGGGGCTGTCGAGCCTCTTAGTTTTCAGACTTCAGCTTTGCTGTGTTCTTTTCAAAAAAACAATTTCCACTCATGTCTACATACGACACAGGGAAGCCCTCTGAATGGCCGGTCAGGCTGGTCTGCGCGAACTTCCGAAAGAGCCTCTGTGAAGGCGAGGACGCGCTCCTCGACGAGGAACTTTTCCCTTGGCAGTGGCTCGTACACGAAACGTTCCCTGCTAGGGCTCTTACTACTATCTGCCCTCAGCGCCACACGTCCTCTTGACCACCTGGGCAGAGCCTGCTCCATCATGTATTATCAGGGTTCTCCTACTCAAGCCCATATTGAAATCGCGATTTCGAGTTGTTTTTGTCCTCGCGGCACAGCTCCGCTGTTCAAGAAAGTCTGCAAGGTCGTGGTACGGCAGAGGCCATCGTAAAGCATCTGCACAGCTCTGCGCGTGGGAAGCGTCCACAAAGTTCCTGGATACCGCAATGCAGTCCTGTAGGTTTGCAACCATGTGAGGTACACCTCCTGGGACAACGATCATCTCACCGGCCTCCACCTCTATGTCCACACGCGAGGCTTCTGGCAGCGAGTCGGGGAAGATTTGATCATATCGAATTTGATGCCGGAACTCCGAGCTTAAGTCGCTTGAGCCTTGCCAAACTTCCAGGTGCAACTTGTCCAGTCTCTTCAAGAACTTGAACTGCTCACTGGCGCCCAAGGGCCAGAAAGACCAACGCTTGCGGCCCGCGAGCACAAGTTGTATGAACTGACTGTTTGCTCCGTCCACGTGCACACCGCACCGGGACCCCGCAGGCTGGACAAACAAACTTGGGTGATCCCAGAAAGGGTCTTGACCCTCTTGTCCTGCATAAGGAGACTGCCCTATCAGCTCGGACTGAAGGAAGGATGGCCAACGTAGCTTTGACGCAAGCTCTGGACATGCTGCTTCTAACGGATGATCAAAAAGAACTAGATTTCTGCCCCCCGCCCAGGCTTGCAGGACCTTTCCCAAACTCCGGTCTTCCTGTTCCTGCACATCAACCGAAGACATCTTGGCCCACAGCTCACTGGCTGGGTCATACTCCATCAGCTGTAGCTGTCGGCCTTGGCACAGCTCTACTAGCTTCTGCTTCTCGAGGGCAGGAATCATGCCGTCTGGGCATTTGGCAACAACCGGCTGCCGCAAGCTCGAGTAGTAGTTGAAAGCATCATCGGACAAGAAGTGCACTCGAGCCACCTCTACAAAGATTTGCCGGACCTTGGCTGCATCACGCGTCGGCTCGGCCGGCGCCTCTGTACCGTCGCACAACTCGCGCACTCGCAGAACTCGCCTTCTCTTGGACAGAGTCTCGTTTTTCAAGCACGGCGCATCTGGATACTGCAACAAGATTTGCCTCTCAGCAGCTGCAAATCGGCTTGCAGCATGGGGGAAGTGATGGCGGCGAGCCAGCACGAAAGCGCGCTGGGCAATTTGCAGTGCCTTTGCTGGGCTAGGATCAGGCAGATGCTCCAAAGATCGGATGATGAGCTGATCCATGGCTTCTATGAGCGTCTCAGGAGCTATTCTTGCTCCTGCCTCAGCTTCGGCTTCCTGCTGTGGCTGCAGTGACTCGGAGCCCAGATCCACAAGATCTTCCAGCGCGGCCGCTGCAGCTAGTCTCAAGGCTTGAGATTCTTGGAGGTAACCATTCTCCCTACAGTTCGTGGCAGAAAAGCCCAAAAGGTCGGCTGCATCTTGGGCGTCAGCGCTTTTTTGAACAACATCCTTCTCCTGCTCTGCGGCCCTATCTATCACCGCCTTAAGAATTGGATGCACTTTGACCAAGCTCAGGTCCACAAGCAAAGATGCAGCAGTGCTTGCCAAGCGAGGCAGGGCCATGAGGCGAGAAGCGCTTGCCATTTTGCATGGTGCTTGTTATAGATATGTGGCTGATTGCTACCCCTCAAAGCCCCGGACATTGGCTGGGAAACACAGAAAAGACATGCTAGAGCTGGTAGGGTCTACTGGAGCATGACGAACGCGTGCAGATTTCAAGGCAAGCAAAAGCTCTGACAGCTCCCCGCCTCTTTCCTTGAACTCGACGAGGGCGAACGGCTGACCATCCCTGTCCTGTGAGCTGACCAACACTAAAAAGATCGCCGATGAACATATAATCCCCTATATAACCCCAATATATATGTATATATATATACACATATAGTAGTTTCCATTTTATTTTCCATTATCCCGATATAACCCCAATATAAATCCTATATAATCCCCTATATAACCCCGTTTAAGGAGTTTAGACATGAACATCTGAATGTTGCATAGCTCGACTGGAGCAGTCAGCGCCTTGTCCAGCCGAAGCGCCTCAAGCTCTCCGAACTGTTTACATATCAGCCTGGCACAGGGGTTCAGGAACGAGAGCGCTGAAAAGCCAAGCAAGTTCAAGGTGTAGGCCTCCAGTCCGAGCTTAGTAACTTCAAATCTTCTGGTACCCCAAGCAGTGCTCTCCAAGAAGAATGTCAGGGCTCCCTTAAGCACCTCGAGCCCGCACTCGCTTCTGCCACTGCCTACATGCTGCTGCGGTGAAGCACCCTTGCTACATTTCCATGAAGGCATCTGCTGGATTCACGGGCCTCGCTGGGTGAAACCTTTCTGCTGAGACTCGCACAGCTATGCAAGTCTCTGTGGTTTTAGAAATGCTTACACTGCATCAGCGCCAGATCGCATCATAAGCACTGCTACGTACCTAGTGCTAATTACAGGAGGAGATCATGTTCTTGCCAGAGGCCCATCAGTCTGATCTTCCAAGCCAGCTGGCACTGTATACTGATCCAACTAACAACAGGTCGCGGCACTGTCTCAACATGGCTGCGCCAGCCGCTCACGCGTGCACCCACTTTGCGGGCCCGCGCTCGCTGCAGAGCACAGGGCAATGCAGGAAAATGCCTACCTCTCTCCAACCCTCCACAGAGGTTGGAGAAACAGAGAAACACGTCTATCATTGCAGGTGCAACTAACAAGGACCTTTGGTCTCTGCCCGCAACGCTTCCCCTAATCCTACTTGCACTGCCAGGCTTTTGCTTTCTGAGCTAATGACGGCTCTGGCGGAAGAATCTGCAAGCTGAAGTTTAGAGCAGCCTCACCCCATGCGCAGGGCATTGGAAGTTCGACAGGCTCGACCAGATGGCATTGCGCTGCCTGATTCATGTCGGAATCAAGCCAGGCTCTCTCGAAATATGAAGTTCTCACAAGGCAGCCCATCAATTCTTCTCGAGTAGCAGCCGACAATACACATGAAGTTTGCTCGTAACAGCTGCATCCAAGATACCTGCAAAGGGCACACCAGAGTCCTCAAAGAAAGAGGAACCCTCACTGAGAAGTGGTCAGCAAGCAATGATACTAAACAGCACCGGACATGCAAGTCTGTGCTCAGTCCTTGTTTTCAAGCAGCGGTGCGCCCCAGGATGGCTCTTGGAACCTGCCATTGCTCGGAGCCCTACCATAGCACAAGGCAGGGCAGGGTACTGACCGCTTCAGCCGTTCAGAAATCTTGGGTTTGGGATTCTGATTGCAATGGAGGCATCTACCTAAGTCTCCGGTGTCATCACTCAGTTTCTCACACCTCTGCAGCGAATGAGTTTCTTTCAGAATCAGAGCCTACTCCTAGGCCCCTTGAGCCCCGGCACCTCACGCTGCCCTCACCCAAGGGGCTTGTGTCCATGTCTTCATTGCTTGATCGATCTTCGCTTTCCTGCCGACGGCAATGTTTCGGGCTGGAGTTCTGAGCTAAAGCGGGCCCTGGAAGTGTGGTGGAGTTACTTATATGTATGGAGAAAAGCCATCACAAGATCTGCCTGAATTTGGCATGACCGTGGCCAATCGTTCAGAACTCCATCGTCAAGGGTGGGTCTTTCTGCGTTCACGGTTTTGCAAGGCCCCCGATTTCGTCATGTTCGGATTTCCACACTAGCACTGCACAGACTGAAACCTCCCTAGTGAAGAAAGTCGGCGCTTCAATTGACAGCCTCGGCCGCAGCATGCTTGTCTGCAAAGCGCTGCAAGTCCATCTGCTTCAGGTGGCCTCATTTCTGAACGCATGGGAATGCTGCAACCCAGCCTAAAAGCGTCGTGCAACTTGGCGATTGACGAAGCAAGCATTTCTCTGGCAGTGCAGAATGAAGGCTCACCCGCAATTTCTTGCCAAAGCGATTCCTTCAAGCCAAGGAGCAGTTATTGATGAGCATGTACTTGGGGAAGTTGACCTCATTATGCAGGAGCTCTCAAATCGCGTAACTGATAATTTCAGACTAGAAGAAATAGAAATGTCCACCGGCACCAGTATGGCAGAACGATAATATCTGAGGCTTGTGCCAATCCACCCTGCCAAACTGGTTTAGGCCGGATGCCAGCTTGACACATCGTCCGCGTCTGTGCCAAGCTCTCTTGGAGCTCCTCCCGTGACATGCAGAAAAGGATAGAAAAGGAACTATGCGGAATCCCTCAAGGTTTTCCTTGCCAGTTGGGATAGATCTAGGCATATCTAGGCCAATCTACTGCTGTCTCGAACAGGACCCAAGGCTAAGCGCAGGGCCTTGTTCACCTCACCTTTTTCCGTGACCTGCAAGAAGAGCACATCAAAAAGCAACGGTTCACACAGGGACGGCCTCTATGCCACTATGCCATCAGGTATGAGCCTGGCCTCCGCAAGCTTTTTCCATCGGTTGAGCTCTGTGGTCAATGGATGGCAAGCCTGACAGCTCTGGATGTAGGAAGTATGACGAAGTATGATGCAGCCCAACAGCCAAGCCCAGGCAGGCTACACTCGGAATGCCACAACCCCCAATGCTGCTGCATCCAGGCCTGCATGACCTCTGCGGCTGACTGCCTCAGGGCTGGGGTCGAGTGCACCTTTCGGATGGAGGCGAGCTTCTGGTGCGCACCATCCTGCAGCCCCCGTGCTTTGATCCAGCCAACAGTCCTCCTCTGTGGCCTATTTCACCTGAACTGCACAAGAAATTTGTGCCAGAGGTCCCAGTAGGCGCCGACTTTTGCCTGTTTGGATTCCAGCTGTGCCATGGGGCCCTGGCAGAGCTAAATCTGCGTAGCACGGCCCATCAATCTACTGGCACTTTGCGCCTGAGGTTCCTGGTCCGAAGGCCTCCACGGAGCTGTCGCACCCTGTTGTAGCTCCAACATCAAAAGGTGCAGATTTGGATCGGATCCAAGAATTGAACTGACTTGAAGCATGCTTTCGGTATTTGCGTCGCATCGAAAGGTTCCCGGCCTTGAAAGGCACATCCGGACCCCTGTCAAGGCATCACATGTTGAGAAATAGAAGTGCACTGACAGTTGAACGATATGCTACGGAAGCAAGCTGAGATGGAAAGAAGTCCCTGGCCTCACAGGACCTCTGGTCAAGGGATGGTTTCCGAACCGATAGCCCCCATTGCTGGGGGCTAAACCAAAGTGCTCGGCAACAACGGCCTGCAAGGCACTGCAAAGCAGCTGCTTCAGCTTCAGCTGCGTCAGGCACAAACAAGCGAAACCGCTTCTTCTCACGCCGACCTGGTCCTTGATGCGCATTTCTGCACGCATGCGTGCCTCAACACAGCTTCTTCACACAAGCACCAGGAACCCATTCCGATGAAGGTCAGCCTTTTCATGGTCCAGCAGCAAGGTGTGGGGCTTGCGGCTGGCGATGGGAACGAACGGCATCCTTGGAGCCCACTGGACCTTGGCTCGTGGCAGGCGTGCCAGTGTGCGAGTACTGCGATTGAATCACTGAATTCTAGTATCTCTATGTGAGCAACAGGGGTGAAGCTCCGATGCCTAAACATGGCCCAGCAAGGAATCAGTCAACTCCGCTGCTCTGTTGATGGAGGTGCCCTTGCCCACTTCCCGAGAGCGAGCGAAAGAGAGAGAGAGAGAGAGAGAGAGAGAGAGAGCGGCAGTGCAGGAGCCCGAAGTGATTAGAACATTCCAGTGTGTATGAGCCTCCTATGGACAAGAATTTCGAGAGTCAGCTAGCAACCACGGCTTCCCCGAGTCTGCCGAGGCCAACCCTGGACACATGCTATTGAACTGATGGATGATTCACAAATTTTGGGGGCCGGGCCTGGCCGGGGGGCTCCGCCGCTGACAGCTTTGAGCCAAACAAACAGCCATTGAGGCATGGAAGGGACAAATGCACGCCAGGCAGAAGTCAGTCATGCTCAAGCGGTGTGTGCTGGTCTAAATCGGGCTTCAAACTTGACAGGCGACCTCACTTCGTCTTCTGTCACCTTGCCGGCCACGGCTTGACACGTGTCCGACCCAAGTAAATCATATCAGCGCTGAGAATGACGGGCCTCCGGAGCGAGGCCTGCGATATGGACCTTGCATTCTATATATGGGGGATTCCCACAATTAGGGGTACCCTTTTTGGGGGTCCCCATAATAAGGACTATAGTATTTTAAGGTCTATATTGGGGTCCCCTTATTTTGGGAAACTACCATATGGCAACCATACAAGCTCAATGCTGAATCCGGCGTAGTACGGCGGTCGCTGATCTGTGCGAACGTTGCCCAGAACAATTTTGGGTGATGGGCGTGAAGGCTAGCATTTAGTTAGGTTTCAAAATTTCTTTGCACATTTTGCCTTCAGATCCCAAGCTTCAGGATGACAACCTTCAGTCCAGGTCGAAATCCTTTCGATTTGTTGTCCATCCACCTGTTCGAGATGGCCAGGTAACCATGGCCTGGATCTTCTCGATCAAATTTACGCCTGCTCAAAGCTAATCATGTTGGCTTTGATTTGAAGCTACGACCCAGATGCGTTTGGGGCCCACGCTAGACTCTAGTAGTCTAGCATACATTTCAGTCGGGGAGTCTAGCACATTGATCGGCCTCGCACATGACGTGCCTCAAATTACTAGGACCGTGATCTAAAGGATGCCCCAAAATAACCCAAAGAAGGATCCACAATTCTGAGGACAGCAGCTTGCATGTCACCCAGACCCATCCAGATGTGCTTAGCCACGCGAGGCTAGAAACTGAGGCATGCGCCGTCCGGAGCCGCTTGTCTTCTTCGGCCTCCTTGAACTTCCTTGGCGCTTCTCAGGCGCTTCTATTAGAAGCAACCCTGCATTTGGGCTATTTGTTTTGGGCCCTTTGAACCTGTGCTGTACATTCTGCACATGTTCTCGGTGCACAGAAGCTGCAGATGCCCTTTATGACATTGTCGCAGGATCACTTCTTCCTGTTTTGCCTACAATGCCACCAGGACCAGGCAGTCGGAGTCTTCTCCATGCCCTGTAAAATGTGGCTCGATTACAACTTTGGAGCAGTCAAAGGCTGGACCGAAGGCATGATTGTTCATTGACAGAAGTTGCCGAAACGAGTAAAGGAGCCCCTCGAAGCCTTGACCACTGGATGTGGTACCTGAACACTCTGTAGGTCCCGCTTACTTCTGCGCGACGAAACATTTTGAAAAGAAAGCTGTCACTGACATCGGCGGTGGACTTGTGGTTCAAACTCCTCCGCACTTTCACATTCAAGAGTGCTTCTGCAGCCTGTGGCTTGCACGACGGCTCACCCTGAATATCTTCAGATCCACCGTGTCCTTCGGCTCAATTCTTGAGCGCAGCTTGCATCGCAGGCTTGATGACGTCGATAGCCTGGGTTTCGATGCTGCCGACAGGTAAGCTCGCCGCAGCAGCTGCGGAGCCATGTTTAAACCCTGGTCAAGGTGCGCTTTTGGCATACATCATCGGGACCACCACCCAAACCAAATTTGTGCCTTTGCCCAGCGAAAGGACCACACGTCGTCCCACACTGTCGAATTTTCTAAGTGAGGCACCGATGAATGCCCACCACCAGTGGATAGACTTAGGCCCATCCGTGTGGGTCCACTTCCAACCTTTGCCTAAGAAGGGGCAACTTAAAAAAGCTTTAAATATCGAAGCAAAAGAGTGTTTGGATGGCTTGGCAGTAACTCGGGACAATCCAAAGTTGTGTGTTGGTGGTCTGGCCTCTCATCCAGTTCATCCATCCTTAGATTTGGATCGGCTTGAATCTTGAATCTCAAGCAACCTGTATGTCTGCAAGACTCGCGTCCAGAGCTCAGACGAGGGTCCAGGCACCAGCTCATCAGACCAGAAGACAACAGTCCCGAAAGCGTGGAGCGCGCTGACGACAAGCTGCACTGGGTATCCTCAGAAATTGGCAGCAAAAACTAACTGTTGGCTGCGCTGTTCTTGGTGAAAGCCTTGCAGACCGAGGGTCTATACCACGCATTTTCCAGGATGCCCTGCGCCAGCCACTTGCAGGTGGTTAGCCAACAACGGGGCACTCAGATCTATTGGCCTTCAGCCAGAAGCAGCACAGCGCACCGTCAATGATTCCCGCAGGCACCTCCACCGCCAAGACTACCTGACACTTTGAAGCTCTCAAAGTTGGCGTTGGGAAATGCAACTATGCCAGGTGGGCGAGTGATAACAAGAGCACAGAGAAGTCGCAAGGGCCTTGTCAATGCTGGCCTTGGTGCCTTGGTAATCGGCCGGCGGCTTCAGCTTGTAACCTGAGCTTGCCGGATGTGCTTCTGTTCTGTTCCACTATTATTCCAACGAAGGCTGGATGCGACGGTCGTAGTCCCCGTAGCTGAAGAAAGCTTGGCAGAATGGGTTCCAGGACTTGAACCTCATCTGCTGCTGAGCCGCAAGCTCCACCACAAGCCCTTCAAGCAACTCAGGTCAAGGCCCTCCCTTCCACTCTGCGTAGTCGAAGAAGTTCAGCAAACCTGAATCCCAGCAGAACCCATGATAAACTTTAGCCTTGAGGTCCACTGCTGCCATGACACTGATCTCCCAGCCGAAATGGATGTAAAAATTGGCTGCAAGCCACACCTCTTCACCCATCTCGCCATGCGCAGCTTTGCATGTTCGACAACAAACACTTGTGCAGCTCAATGGCCATGTTCCATTTCTCCCAATAGGTCAGCGTCATGGCTAACGCTCCACAGGTACGATTTGATGGCAAGTCTGGATGCTGCGGATAAATTGCACCGAGCAGACGTGAGCTCTTGGGCTAGCATTGTACAGGCAGATGCACCTGAGGCATACCTGCAGCATAGGACAAAACCTGAGGCCTTGGCCGGAAGTACTCTGCCTGCACTCCTTGGGGCTCAGTCGTGTTTGCGGCTTCTTCCTCCTGGTCCTCGGGCCTTAGCTGTCCCAGCGCCTAAAAAGCAAATCTGCACATGGCCAGGCAACACTCGCAAATCGTGGTTGACCGTCAATTCAGACCCCTGCACGGTCTCCCAGGGCCGCTGGACATTCCACATCTGGCAGGCTGGGCCACATGTGCATCTGTTTCCTCACGCTAACTCAGTAGCATCAACTTCTGGGGTAATCTTTCTTGCCTTCCGGGCCATGTCTTTGGAGCCCGGGTCCATGACGGAAATCTGCAAGAGCCAGAACACAGGTTCTCTGGCGCAGCTTTCCTGATCCTTGTGCCCGAAAGTCCTAAAAAATCAGCAAACGCTGCAGCCTCAATAGCTTGCCCCATCACCTGAGCGCATGACTTTGGATGGCCGACCCGACAAAACCAGGCTGCCGGATGGGCGCCTTGGTGCCACTCATCTGATGCGCCTGGCTTCAATGCATTGCTGACACCTCCAGCGCTTCTTGTACAAATGCCCAGGGCCTCCAGGACGCCCTTGGAAGAGGCGAAGTCGACCTGTGCGAAGAACTCTGCTGTCCTGACCAACAACACAGCGCATCTTTCAGTCACGTAGCCAAGCTCGACAAGCCGTTTGAGGCTGTCCTCCCCTGATAAGACCGGAAGAGAACCTCACGGCAGTCTCCCGGCACGATGGGCTTGCACGCTGTGGAAGGTAGGTTTATTTCTGGCAGGATATGGCCAAAAATAGCATGCAGTATGCAGGCGCTATCAGCGCAGCACGACTATGCCGATTTCAAACAGTCGGTAGGTGCTCGGCACGCTCGATTGCATCGCATTGCCTTGGCATGAGCCCAGGCCCTCTGGATGGCATACGCCCCTCTCGCCCATTGCTGGCAGAGCTGTCTGCATTGGACAGCAACTAAGTGCACACAAGGTATCTGAATCAAACGACTCTGTTTCCGAATCTGGTTACAGCGCCGTGTGCTCTCAATGCGTCTCCAGCGGTCAGATTAGACAGTGCCATTACAATCCAATCTCAATGCGGCCGTGCTGCCCAAAGGTCTCGCGAAGAACCTGCTCACTGACCTGAGGACCTCAAACTCACGGCACGCATCCTTTCCAACAAAAACAACAACTCAAGAATTGCAGTGACCATCTTTAGGTCGTCAGGGAGAATGAGCTCAATCAACGGCATTTGTCTCATCGGAAAGCACAAGAAAAAAAAGCTTGGGGTCCAAGCTCAGGTTCCTGATGTATATCGAGTTACGCGCCTGAGCTTGCTCTGCAATGCCACACTGTCAATGCAAGTAGGAACAACGTCCAAATCCAAATGCTCCTGTCCTGTCTGAGGTCAGAGCAGCGAAAGCCATACTTAGGGGGCCGGGGCTGTGCACGAGGCACGAAGCCTTAATGCCTAACTACAGCAAGTTTTACAAATACGATATCACTAGGGTACTATATTACTGCAGGATTATATTGCTATATTACTGTTATTATTAATATAATACTATATTGCTAGCTCTGCTTAGATCCAACTGGGGCAGTAAGGTGGGCTATGATGTTGCCGTTAAGGCGGGCTCAATGCACCAACCTATGCTCGTACTGTCCTGCTTTAGGTCTGCAAGTGTTCATTTAGGGTGTAGGGTTTAGGGCTTAGGGTTTAGGGTTTTGGAATGTTACCCCCGGTCATGGAAAATGAAATGGAAAAGATAGTGGAAAATGAAATGAAAACTAGGATTATGTTTTGCAAATCCTGGGACCTAGAAATGGAGCTGTGATGAGTTGGGGTAGTTGTCTGATGTTGCCTACTACTGATCTGCTGGTGGGTCCTCAGCCTGTCTTGCTGTGAAGGCGTGTGAGCAGCGTCTCAGATTTGCACTCTACTTGGGCCGCTAACGCTGCAAAGCTCTCACGCAAAGTCGAAATGGTTGATTTTCCTACAAGTGAGACCCCCTGGCAATACGTAGGAATGTTGCATGACCCTGGGGTGGCACTGCAACAGTTTTTCTGTCAGGAGCCGCTGTGAAGCATGAAGTAGACGGCCACAACAAGCATCACCAGCATCAGCCCCGCGATCATATAGACCATGCGTTTGTTCTGGTCCGCTCTCCGGAGCATGCTATCAAGTGTTCGGCCAGCCGAGCTGTAGTTCTGTCCCACCTTGCCCATGTTATCGCGGCTTCTTTCAAGAACTTCTCTCTGCTGGCGCAAGTCACTCATCACATCGATGCCAATCTGTTCTGATTCAAAAGCTGCGCGCTTGGCTTCCGTCAGCTTCCGGGATGACTCCAACATTGACGCATTCATGTCATCTATGTGTTCATGTGCTGGCTTCCCAAGGGCATCATCAAACAGTGCGCTCCTTGCGGTCGCTTCAGACGCTTTGCGGCGTTCTGTCAATGCTTGCCTGCACTGCTGAACCTTGGACTGTACAGGCCCTCGAGCTTCTGGTGGCATTGCTCTTGCTTCCAGCTCCATTTGTTTCACCGACTGCTCAGCCTTGGAAATACGGCGGTCAGCATCAGCAAGATGCTTTGATGCAGATTCACTCCTGGCACGCTCCAGGAACTCATCTGCCTCTTGGCAAAGTCTATTGAAGTCGGCTTCATGCTCCGTGAACATTTCCGAGACCGTGACGTGTTGCGACATGGCGATTTAGGCAAATTTTGTTAGCTACTACTACCAGATACCACAAGATGGTGGGTGCATACCCCTTACAAATCCACGAAAGGAAATGGCAGGTACAGTATTGGCAGATTGACTATCCAGAAGATTTACCTGCAGGCACAGGCTGCGGCACTTCAGGGCAGCAGCTTGCAGCGGCTTCCCTTGCACGGCTGCTGCCGGCTGAAGATTCTTTACATAGTATCACCCCTATATAACCCCTATATATATATATGTATTATATATACCTTACTATACTAGGCTATAGTAGTTTGCATTTTCTTGTCCATTATCCCTACGCAAGCCCTATGGTCACTTTGTTGGACGGGCGCGCATCCTCTGTGCAATGCTGCGCTCTTTGGCCCTGGGCATGGACTAACAGCAGCCAGAAATGACTGAACCACCAGAAGGAGCACCTGTGGCGCTTCTTCTTGCACCTTATCTCTTAGTGGCCTAAGAAATAATGCGTATCAACTATCAAATACGTTTCTTCCCTGCTCACGAAGCATTGAGCGTTGCCACCAAGTCCTTTCTTGAGTGATTTTCCGTCAGGCCGCATGTGTGGCCAGACAGCATTCCTACCAGGTAAGCTGTGCACACGGGTCTGCCTTGGGCAGCGTCAATGAGGGTGACCACTCGCACAAAAAATGGCCACCATGCAAAGAATTTCATTAGCGAGGCGCAGACTGGGCAACCGAATGTTAGCTGGGCCTAGCGCCTCAACTTGAAAGTCGTGGGGTTGCGTGAAAACCGCGTGTCTGACCACTCAAAGGAACATAACTGGGATCAATGGCAAGTCTGGAGATCCTTCTGACCAACCTGGGAGCTTCGCAACCTCACGCAGTGAGACCGTGCCTGCAATCCTCCTGAAAACAGCATGCTGGCAGGACTCCGGCTACATAGGAATGCTGCCGATGTCATGAAGCTTTTGCTTTAAATGGCATCTTGCAAGTTTCCCATGCTTTCCCGCATGATCCGACGTAAGCAGCATGCAACAGCGGCGCGGGCTGGTCGCTGACATCTCCAGCCCTCATTTCACCTTCAAGTGCCCTGCAACAGGACAAGCTTACTGTGCCGCATCTTCAAACGGGCAATAGAGTGCACGTCGCAGCCTGGAAGTCCGAGGAACTTGGCAGAAGGGCCACACCAACAATTGCACCTGCGAGGGCGTGAAATTCAGAAGCTGAAGCGTATGCCTTCGCATGTAGCCTGACGTGACACAACGCTCCCACGCAGAGTTTGACTCTTTTCCGGCTGTCGGATTACTCTGCGGGGACCTGGGATGAAGCAGCGATTGCGCTGACTGAATACCAGGAGATATTTACACCAATGTCACGCACTACTTTGAGCAAGCACCTTTCAACCGTGCCAGCTTATCGCTGACTGCGCGGTTCTCTGAAGTTGTTTGGATGCTGCGGTAGCCAGGGGACTTTCAATGCTTGCTGCTGGCTTCTCAAGCCTGGCCCTCAAGTTCTCTCACATGTCTCGAAATAGCACGCTTCCGAACGATTCTATTAGAACAGATCTATGAAACTTGCAGTGGCCAGGCTAGAGTGCGCGGGGCTAAGCGACCGTGAGACGTCAGTTGACGGCTTTTGGAGCTTCAGGCTGCTATATCTTTGTTCTAGCCTGCTCTGAGTGCTGCAAGGACTGCCAGGGCAAATGAAGCTTTCATTCAGACTCCCTGACTAGGATTCGGGTAAGGGGACGACATCAATTGCCCAGACATGTCTCTATGACAAATTAGCATGCTGAGCGGACAATGCTTTGGCTGTCACGCGAACAAAACGAGTAACTTCTGCCTTGGCCACGATTGGGCTTTCAGGATTTTCATGGGGCCAGCTGCGGCAATAAGTTCGTCCTCTTGCGATTGCCCGTTGAAGTGCTCTTTCCAGCATGTGATCATAGGCACGCAGCCGGCACCAAAAATGTGTGAGACATACTCTGCGCTGCTTCCCCACTGGGCTTCGATGCTCTTTGTTGCTTGCATGGGCGTGGATGCCAGCTTTGCTTCCCAAAACATGTGGGTTAGGAAGTCAGCTTCTGGATCTCTTCATCTGAAGACCAAACCTACCCTAACTATTATCCTGACCTCTAGGCGACGGGAGCCGCTGAGCGGTGAAGTCAACTCGGCCTGCCACATTGGATGTCAGACGACGGAGGCACACCCAAATGCACTACGTAGATCCAGGAATCTGAATGCCGTGACCTTCCGTACGGAAAAAGCCGGACATCAACGACTACGAGAGCTCGTTGCTCTCGATTCCGGCGGTCACGCCTGCAAGAGCTGATGCGGAATTCTGGCACTAAGCTTGTCTCTGTCTGTTTCTTGTTCCCATTCTCCCCTAGCTTTAACTCATCGCACCCATGACCCTTGGCGATTGCGCCTCGACGGGAGTGTACCCTACCTGTGCGCCGCGGCGGCTCCGTATGCGCCCAAGCAGGCGCACACCTCCATTCGGGAGTTTGCCGCAGAGCTGTTCAGTTCAGAAGCCAACAGCAGGTATCACCAGGTTGCAGCAGGGCAGTTCTGAACAAGCTTCATTGACAGAACTCAGAGCGCCCAGCAGCAGGCCCAGCGCAACTGAGAATGGCACCGAGCACCACCATGCTCAAGGAGATGCAGCCAGCGGCAAAAGAACCGAACACGTCGAGAATCTCTCGGGATTCAAGCTCCTTGCACTGAAGGTCCCAGGTTTCTTCATCTGACAACGGGCAAGATGGATTGACGGTCCTGCGCATGCACCTTAACCTTCTCGTAGTGCATCATGACATTCCTGAGAGGTGCTCCAGCATTACACACCACGTGCTCATGGTCAGCGGCTTGTAGCCAGACTATCCAGGAAGCCTCCCCCTTCCAACATTCAGGCGAGCAGCGATACATAGGAGGGTAGCTCGCTCTTGGCCTCTTCGGTGAGTGACAGGTAGCGGCCTAGGCAAGCTGTTCAGCAGCATGCACAAAGCGTGCGCACTCGGGCCAACATCTGGTTACCTTGTTCCGAGGACGCGGCGTCGCCGCCGCTTGCCTCCCTTCCCACACTCAGCGGTGCATTGGCTCCACCTGGACTTGTGGGACGAAGCACGCCGGCAACCACAAGTTGCTTAGTGGTAGTTTGATGCGGCCGTCCACTGGAACTGGACGGATCCCAGCCAACGTTCTACAAGCAGAGAAGGTAGGTTTCCTCTCCCTGAGAATTCCATCCAAGTAGCTCGCCCCAGGTCAGCCATTCACAGAACTTCTGTCCTTTGCACCGTCTTGGGCACTTCCCCAGCTCCACAAGCTCTTTGGGCTCACACTCCTTGCCACCTTCGCCAGGACCGCACACTCTCTTCAGACACATCTTCTGCTCTAGACACAAGTGGACTTTGCCAAGTGGCCATTGCGAGGCGAATCTATGATCTTCCTGCATCATGCAAGCATTGCTCCGCGCTGCGAATCACGCGCAGTTGCAAAGTTTGTCGCATCCCATAGTTTGCACTTTGCACATTGCGGCCAACCACCGAGCTTAGCTCCGAGCCTTATCCTGGTGCGCTCACCTTGGCTGGCGCCACGCAGTGGCAAATTACATGGGATGTGTCCAACCACTGGGCGACACGTCAAGCCGAGTGACCGTTGCATTTATCGCAAAGACCCCACTCTTCCCAGGATCCAAAGGTGCAGTCCACTGGCTTGAGGCTACCAATCCCGCAGGGGTGGCGGCTGCACTCCCTAAGTTCCTCCAGCGGGCCATCACAGGTTCGGCCGCCAAACTTGGGATGCTTCATAATCTCCCGTGATCGCAGGCTTTCACCGCCTGTAACAGGGCTGTGAGTGCTGGGAACTGTGGAGGCTGTGTATAGTCTAACACTTGCAGCTTCCGCCGCCTCCGCAGCTCTTGCTACACATACTCCAACCTGTCCAGTCGCTGCGCTGGCAATCGACCTTGCAGAGCAAGCAACGGGCTTGGCCGACTTGGCCCATAATTAAGGCAACATAAGAGATGTTCTGCCCAGATTTCCTGCCCCTCAAGAAGATGCCAAACCGTCATCATCATATGCTCAACCCGTCCAAAGCAGCGGAACCTACCCGATACAATGCAAGGGGCTGGATCTCCGCCGAAGCACTGCTCGGGGCCCTCTTCACCTTTGCTCTGAACTGGGATTGCGAGGATTTCTTGGCGCTAAGGCTTTTGCCTTGCAGGATGAGTCCAGGATCTTGTGAGTCTAGGGTCTTCCAACTGAAATGACAGATTGCGCTGGTCCCCCACTCCCGCCATACCCCGGCCCATCCCCACCCTGCCCTGCCTTCCTTCGACGACTTTGGAATCGTGGAACCCAAAAACAAACAAGGATCGCGTGCGCACATGTAAGTGCACAGGAGCCGTCCTTCTCGAAGAGGCTACCATCTTCCCACCCTACCTGCCCTACAAGTAATAGCTACATGGCCATGGGCTTCTACTTGTAGAAACTTGAAGAAAACATCCTCAAAATGAAGCGCCCGCCCGGCGGATGGGTCTGAATCTTCGGATTGTCGTTGCAGCATTCGGTTTGGCGTGGTCCTTCCGTCACATTTACTCAGTCATTACACAACTTTGATGTACTTGTACTTGACTTACTTCATTCTTTTCCCCGGAGCAGGAAGTTAATGGAAAGTCGCAAATGAAGACATCAAAAATTGCTGAGTGTCTATGCGTTTCCTTGCCATCTGTCCGATCTGTGCATGTTTATCGGGCACGCACTGGATGATCAAGGAATCGATTCAAGGTGAGAGAGAGGCTGAGGAATGCTGCCGCTTTTTCTTTGAATCTTAACGCCGAAATCCAAAAGCCCGGATCTCTTTTGGACAATGTGGTAGTGCTTCAGGTCTGTTATGAGGAGATGTTTACGCATATGATTGGGAGTCTGAGGCTTGAGCCTGGAGCTGGGTTGCAGGGCTCAACCTCCTTCAGGCCCCCAATGCACCACAACCCAGCACCTGCAGAAAAAAGCAAGTGCACAGCCGCACTGGATCTGGAAACCAGTTCGCAACAGTTTGGCTAGAGTAAGCAACAAGCACCACCCCGAAATTAAAATCTCACCTTGCCCATAGCTTTCCACACTGCGCTCACGTCGACGAATGCCATCACCTGAGATCCATGGATCAACGTGATCTGGCACTAGATGCTGCAAGAGCATGTAAGGGAATCGAAATTGCATCCTTCCACTCCGCCAAGCGAAATCCATCTGAACCACTGTCGTTTAAAGAGATGTGCAAAAGGTAGATCCAAACAACGCACCACGTGCTTCTGATACGGGTAGGTGAGTTACAGGTTGCTGAACAGCCGGTCCATGTAGTCCATGGGGTGAATTCGCAATTCACAGAAGGCGTGCAGGACCTGGCCAAGTCAGTAAGCTCTGGACAGTGAAACATCATTCTCATCTGGCGAGGCCAAGTAGTGTCCACGGAAGCATTAGTCACTAGGTTCTTTGCGCCAACTTGACTCGCGGAAGCATGCTCTCGGCAACAGAACACCCGAGCCTGTCCATGTTGCAGAAGCCGGTCTCGTGAGACTTCCCTACAGCCGGAGCACCGCACTCGTCTGCTTCCCTGATCATCTTGCCTGGGAGCGTGAGTAGAAGGGGGTGCAAGGAACGCAGATGGAAGTCATGGTAAAACAGTCTCAGGTAATTCTCCATGTCAGGTGGCGGATGCGGAAGGTAGTTCCACCATCGCATGTCGCTGAGCATTCCGCCCTGGGTTGCAAGAAGGCTGAGAACTGTCCTGCAATGCTTTTGCTACGAGTACTGTAGGAATTCAGGGCCGGGCCAGGCGCTCCACTCGCCCCACTTGCCATCTTTGCAGGACTCATCGCCTCGGTCCAGCCCAAGCCCAGGCAGGGCACGGCCAATCCCACAAGGCCTGCAGATGATGAGGGGTGAAGGGTTAGCTAAGTTGCACCGGTGCGTGTTGCATGGCCGGAGCTCCACTTTGTCACTCGGTGGACAACCTTGCCAGTGAGATCATGTGAGACCATGATAAGAAGCAGCTGGCGGTCGTGCGAAGAATTAATGGATCGTCCAAGGAGCGCTCGCCACCCATGTGAGGCATGGTCTTCACAAATCGCTTGCGCTCCTGAGTTCCGCCGCCACAGGAGCAGCTGCAGGGGCGCCACTCTTCCCAGGCATCCCACACACAGTCAGCCCTTGGGCAGACCTTGGTCCAGAATTCGAATCATTAGGTAAACTCCTGTTTCCCTTCACCAACGTGAACTCAAGAACCTGAGGTGAGCACAGCTGCTGTGTGGCAGCGTCTTGCCTCACCCAGGAAGCCTTCGAAACCACGACCCCCCAAAGTTCGCTCCTGGCAGCTCCATGGACGGGGGCTGGGTGCAGGGGTTCTGTTCTCGACTGTTCAGAAGCATCAGAGAGTGCTTGCATCTCAACAGCAGCGCCTCTTGAAGCAATGTTACAAATCTTGATAAAATCATTCCTGGTACACATGAACCTGATACACTGAGAGCAGGCTGATAGGAATGGCTTGCATCACGCATCAGCTGTACAAATTCTACGTTGCAAGCACCAGCAGATTTCAAACTCGCACCCCGCCCAAAGCCAGTCTGGGTCCTTGAGGATGCTGCGTGAGCGTGTTTGCTCGCCTACCGGGCAGAGTGCAATTGAGTGTGAGGTCAGTGCAGTTTGGTCAGAGAAGTGCAGAACCAAAGGTTTACGGAAGGCAGGCTCGCTAAGAGCTTTTCAAACGGGCGGCTCAGCATTTGGAGCAACTTTGGTGCCCAAGTTGGCCAAGCTGGCTTTCGGAAACCTTGCCTGGCCCGCACGTCAAGGTGCACTCGGTCCAAGCCGACCAGTCGCTCACCTGATGCAAGTTGTGTTAGAGGGTGATCATGGTCAACATGCAGCTTCAAATGTCGGGATCATGCCACTAGCACGTCAAAAGGTCAAGTATGTCGCAGTTATGGTTCTTGCGAGGCAGCAGAAGGCCTACCCAGAGGCTTGAACATCTATAAGTGGGTAGACAGTATATACATGACATCAATTCTTGCTTGCTTGGTCTGCAAGGCGACGAGCAACCGGCAGCCAAGTGTACCTTGAAACAAATACCAGTAACATTCAGCAGGAAGATCCATCAAATGTGCTCTCACTCACTCAGCCTGTGCCAAAGCCATCAGCAGTATGGCAGACGTTACTGTGACAAACCCCGCGCCTCTGCATCCCACATAGGACACTCCTCCAGGAAGCAACCCTCGGTTTCCATGAGGCTGCCAGGACAATCCTGAGCGTACAGGCATTGAAAACTATTTTTACCCGCTGTGAAAGGGGCAATGCCATTCCAAATACTTTGATTTGAGTTTCCACACCGCCATTTTGTGCAAATACCTCGATCTGGCGCTGGCGCCTGACAGAATCCAGACAATGAACTTTTAGCAGACTTCGAACATCGGCTCTACAGGAAATTAGGCCACAGGCCTCGTCTGCGCATGTCCGCATGTTCGATCACAGGGGCCCCACTCTGCCCAAGAGGACATCTTGCAGTTAACAGGAGTCATTCCGCATGATTCTCCTTCAGCAACCGAACAAGCTCGCTTGGCAGGGCATGCTAACCTTTGACCTTCTTTCCTTGACATTCTCTCAAGATCTTGGAGCAGCACTTGCACCACTCATCAGCAGTGGATGTTGCAGGCAAGTGTGCATAGAGTCACGTGTCTAGGCCGCTCCTAGGCGGGCACATGCAACTGCAGTCCTTGTGTGATCTCACCAACGCAAGCTTGCCCGCCGTTTGCAGCATGCTGGGTAATGCCTTGGATGCAACATCACGCTGGCTCACATGCACTTGCCAAACCATACGAAAAAAGACGTTCAACTTCACTGTCTAGAAACGTCGACGCTGTGCAGAACGGCAACTTGAAGGAACTCTTCTGTTTCAGCTTTTGCGAACCAAGCGGCTCTTATCTCTGAAGCGCATGTTGTGCATGTCGCAGGTGCTCCATATGCCCCACTCTCCAAGCACGCAGTCCACTGCACTCCCAGCTTCGCACGCAGGACCTTCCAGCATTCTAAGGCTTGGTCACCATACTTGTCACTGTGTTACGTAGCCTGGCAACCCTCGAGAAACAGCAGCCACTCTTACAAGTAGCCCTTATCTTGCCGAAGGCGTCAGGGGAAACTTTTAGATCATAGCCTGGAGATTCCAGAAGGCATGAAGCATAGATAGATTGGTGGTGAGAAGGACTCTGGCAAACAAAACAGACATGTCAAATCTGCCCACCAAAAGATACATCTGCCTTCTTGGACACACTTGTCAATCTCTTTCAGGGTGCCATCGCAGGTCATGCCGCCGCGATGAGCATGCACCTTGCCACCAGAAAGAAAGGCTAAGGCTTCCAGGCTTCCATAAATCAATCGATCGCAGTTAGGGTTTAGGTTTAGGGCCCTAAACCCTAAACCCTTAAGCCCTAAATAGTAATTTCCATTCTATTTTCCATAATCCCTAGATGACCCTATATAATCCCTAACCCTAAACCCTAAACCCTGATTCTGTAAACTATCCAGCCTCTATCTGCCTCCTCCTCGTACGCCAACCATCACCGCAGGTTGCCGTGCAGGGCGTCCATTCCTGCTCCCCAAGCATGCCAGTAAGGCAAGGCACAGCTGACCTAAAGCCCCCTCAAGTAAATAAAATATGGAATTGCCCAGTATTATCACAAGATCCCCATAAAATGTACCCCATATTCTATCTACTTGAGGGGGACTCCTAGACGCAGAACAGGCCTCCCAGGAGCTGAATAAGCAAGGTTGAGGAACTGTCCTTAGCTTGCTGGTTCCTAGTAGGGGATAGGGTTTTTGCCGCTTGCATGGCGCTGACGGATATCATAGGGTTTAGGGTTTAGGGTTAGTAGGGGGAATGGGAATATATTGAGGTCATATAGGGATAATGGAAAAGAAATGCCATCTACTACATTATAATAAGGTATTCTTGGGGGAGTGTAGTAGGGCAGAAGGAAATACGGTATATAGTGATTGTATAAATAATGTATTCCCTTCTTCCCTAACCACCAGTAGGTTCGTCTGGAAGGGCTGCCTGTAGCGTTAGAGGCTGGGCTTCGCCATGGAAAGTCAAGTCCATACCAGGCAAATGCAAAAACGAAACACAACGCATGGACACGGCCAAGAAAAACAGGATGCCTGTGACAGTGCAAAAGCTCACAAATGGTTGAGCACCTTCAACGTGTCGCAATGATGCCAACAAACTCCCCCTCAAACATTGAGAAAATCAAGCCCAACAATCTAACCCTCAGGCTTGCGCCGTTCAAGCTTGCAATGCTGCCAACTTCGGCTCGATGCTATCAGGTGAAATCCCAGAACTGCGCAGTGATGGCAGAATTTGCATTGGGATAATTATGATGATGATGATGATTTTTCCGCTAAGTAATTCAGCGTATTCTGTTAGTATTCTGTTGATACGGCCACGAGACTGATGGCAGCCCACAGTCTCTTCCAGTACTCCAAGGCCTGGCAGGCAGTTGGTGAAAGCTGCTGTTGCCTCTGCAACTGTGCAGAAGGAGAGCTCAATCATCGGAAACCCATAATGCGCCACTCCATCCCTGTAGCTGTAGGTCCTTTGAATTTGAGAGAAAGAGCTCTTTGGTTCTGGGAATCGCTGGTGTTGTTGTTGTTGTTGCTGTTGTTGCTGTTGTTGTGGTTTTTGTGGCGGTTGCTGCTGTTGTTGCTGCCGCTTTTTGTGAGCTTTCTTGCTCCTGATTCAATATGTTGGAGAGCATTGAAAACTGCTTGACCGCATCTGGTGATAAAGTCTGCTTTCGAATCGAGCATTGTCAACACCACACCAAAACGTGGTCGCAAGCCACCCTCACCAGGCGACAGCTACTGCCGCCACAGTCAAGCCCACCACCACCACCAGCACAGCAGGTGCTGCCACCACCACCGAGACCAGAAACACTCTCCTATATCTCCTCATGCTCCACTTGCGGGTCAAGTTGCATGGCTTTCCACCGTTGCGCGGCGTGAACTCGATTTCACGGTTGCGATATCTCTGGCCGGCTGCCTGGAGGCCAGGAGGAGAAGCACATTTACATGGAATCCGCAAGGCAGAGGAAGGCACAAACGGATTTATGATGATGTTGTGACTGAGACTTGCTACAGGTGGGCAGGAGTACCGTCGTCAGATTGTCCTAGAGCATGAGGGTTCGGCAGCGCACCTGTCCAGGGTCACTGCATCCACTCCACGCGCTCCACTGCGTCACCTGACTTCTAGCAAGGGAAAGGGACTCAGGCAAGGAAGGTCAAGAAAGGCATGTCTCTAGAGCAACAACTAGCCACAGCAACTCCTAACCATACGCTGGCGTAGGACTAGGAATCAGAAGATAAATCAACGAGCTCCATGCACGGGATGCTGGCGCCACTTCCAAGCGTCCCCTGCCTTGCAATCTCGAGGGCTCAGGCAGTCTGCCGCGCAGCGCTTCGTGGTTTCGAGAGCTCCGAGGCAAGGCGGCCCACACTCGTTGTTCACATCCTGTTCACACGGCAGAGTCGAAAGTGCATGCGTGCACACTACAAAAACAGATAGGATCTTACATGACCCTATATAATGCAGAATGTAAGCCTCATATAAATCTATATTACCCCTTCATCAGCCGTATATGGCACGTACAGACTTTCAGCTGCTGCCTAAGCCCGAAACCGCCAAGAGATGCACTTCCACATTGTGCAAGCGGTTGCCTCTTCGTATATTACCTATATACCGACATACCTCTACATATCTCTGCTTCAGGGTTTAGGGTCGCAAGAGGCCCTACATACCTCCCAGAAAACGAAGCCCACATTTACAAAGACCACCAACCTGACAAAGAACCTTGAACAACTAGTGATCGTTCGGCCCTTGCTGGTGATTGTGACAGCTGATCCAGAGCTTCCTAAACCTACTGTAGCTAAAGTTCTGCTCCAGTCGAAGGTCCACAGCCCTAATTACCTTGAAACAAACTCTTAGGGCTTAGGAGTACTCTTACACCATTACGCTGGAATCGGCATTGACGAACAAAGACAGCAGTCCTGCACGATGCGGCTGCGGCTGCAGAGGCCTTCACAGGTGGGCTCTTGCCACTCCGACCACGGGCTGAAGATGCACGGGATCGGGATGCAGTCCCTTGGGTGGCAGTAATGGCGGCTGCTGCAGTCGCAAACTGCTTGAGTGAAGAATGCAACACCATTGCCTCTACACTGCCCGGCACACCGTTTCTTCAAGCTCTGCTCCATGCTCTTCTGCTTGTCTTCAGCCAAGTCTCTCGCAATCCCGTACAAACGGGCACTGGCTCTGATTCACCTGCGTGCCGGAGCAGTTGGCCGTCCCGTTGACCTTGAAGAGGAGATTCTCTTCTGCCGGCTTCGTGAGGTGAAGACCTTACATAGACTAACGGCTAAAGCTTACAGTCACTTTTCATGTCACTGATCCTCTAGCTGAGGATTCTGACAAGCGCCAATCCGCTTGTCAGAGTTCCGAAGCAAGTCTGCATAGAGCCAAGCACACCCAACCGTCACATAAGCAGCTCGAGACCTGAGGCCTTCACCCAAGCTGCGAGTGACCATCGCTGTCGCTGTCCCACAAGTGTTTTCACACTGCGGCTCAGTCCATTCGTTCCAGCCACAATAGAGCCTGTGAGGACCATCACGCTGGCACTTGCTGTAAACCGTGCATTGCAAAAGGAGCGACGGAGACCATGCTGTATCTTCTTGAAGTTGGTCTGAGGCCCGGGCGTCTTTTTGCACTCTGGCCTGGGAACGCAATCCGACACCTGCTTCGGCACAAGGGACACAAGATGGAACGGTTAAAACAAAACCTTCTGAACCTCTTTTTGCGTTTGTGTCATCATGGTGCCCTTGACAAAGTACATCAGAGTTCCTGCCCTGCCTCCTTGGCACTGCGGAGGTCGCAGCGTCTACCGCAAAGATTCCTGTGCGGCAAATGGGCACAGTCGTCTGCAGCAAGAACTTCCAATAATCACGACTGTGTGAAGCCCTTTAATCCAGATCAGCGTCGGCATGATGTCAATGTTTCGATGCCGATAGCGCTGGCCACCACAAGGGGGACAGTCCCCCCAAGAACTCCACTCGCCCCAAATGCAGTCCTGCGAAGGTCCCAGAAACTCGTGATGGTCTTATTAGTCTAAGCAACAACGTTTCTTACATTGACCATCGAAGCTTTGTTCTGGGGGACCTGTAAACAGCTGTCAAAGCTTGTCCTGGCACTTGTGTGCAGCGCAGCGCTGCTTGTTGCCTGGGGTTCCCATGCTGTAAGCGACCGATGCCGGGCAGATACATGTCACTGATTCTGCATACCCTATTTGCAAGTTTCTGTGGCTTCACGCGTGGCAGACACCTATCGCCCCTACATGCCCCAACAATTTTTGAAGCCAGGCTGCATCCGGCAGTCTCCAAGAGTGCGTTGTTGCAAGCCCTGTCAGGGCTTCTCCAAGAACACTCTTGCATACTCTTGGAACTCACATCTACAAGGGGTGTTCATTGGCCTTCCACCACCCATTGCAGGCGTCTTCACCTGAATAGTTCTGGCAGTTGCCCCGCTACTCGCATGGCAAAGAAGGCACCTCTCGAACTCGCGATCGCTGGCCACCGCCACAAGAGGTTGAGCACTGGGACCACTCCTGCTGAGGGAATGAGGCGCGTGCTTGGGTCTGCCGCCGCTTAGACTCTGCTGCTTCTGGCTATGTAGTCCTGCCATTCGAAGAGCTCGCAGTTCACCTGTTTCACGTTGGAGCCTGCAAAACAGCCGCAGGTCAGCAACAAAGCTGGGCACGCACAGCTGCAATTCTCAGCCCTTCAGCTTGAAAGAGATCTGAAACGATTTAAAGCAAGCTGCAATCTGCAGGCGTCACTTCATCTGGTCCGGGATTGCAGGGCTCAATCTCTTTCAGACTTTCGTTGAAGCAAGTTTCGCCTTGGTCAAGTTCAAAGTCAGGACTTGCAAACGAACCGTGGAACCGGCTGCTGCAGGAGTGAGCATCATGCCTCCTGATTCTCTTGCCTCTTGCCACGCATCCCTGCAACCGAATGGCCATTTCCGGATGGGAATCTTTCGATGTAGCGCGATCTCGACTTCATCCCAAAGCAGTGGCAGCCTTGCATTCTGAGCAACTCATCAAAGGGTATGCAATTTCTTATGCAGGTGGCCAGCTTTCAGTTCCGAAAAGAGGTTCTGGTAGAAAGTTGTAAGCAAGGAGACTGCACTTCGTCCAAGGTGTCCAGGAGGAAAGCAGACAGTCGACATCCGCTACACAGGGTGGCAACTGGTCGCACTTCTCAAACTCCTCTCGAGGACCGACCTGGCCCAGTGACCAAAACCGCGACTGTCAGCTAGAGAGTGACTGATACAACTTTCATTGGATGGGTGCTGGCACCGGGCTGCCGGCAGTCGCATTTCCACAGGAGTTGGGGTGAATGGCTATGTTCCTGGCGGAAAACACTTGCTTGAAGCAACATAGTCATAGGTACGATTCTATGCAGTCGGCTTCCTCCTTCGCATGCGGTAGGCATCGTTGCAGCTACCGCTGCATGGAGTCCACTCCCTCCACTCGCCCCATACACCATCTCGGCATCCTTCGCCGCAATGTTGGGCTCCTTAGTATGAGAGATCTGAAACCCTGACCCTCGCTAGCATTCAAAGACGAAGGATGCCAAGAGTCCACAAGGGGCTACCTCCACCTTGTCCCTTGCTTCGCAAGCAGTCCCGCCCTTGGGAGACACAGCAATGTTGCGACTCCTGTCACGTCAGAAAGAGGGGATCTCACATGAACCCAGCTTTTCTTCGCGGCACGGTCCTGGTTTTTGTGCCACCGTCACAAGAGACCGAGCAAGTCGACCACTGCTCCCAGTCACTCCATCGGCAGTCAACCACCTGACACATTGGCCCATCTCATGCAGAATCCAGGCTGATTTCTGAATGCAGAAAGCCCCAAAGCCTGGCACTCCTCGGTCTTGCACTGGGCAACTTCCTGAAGCGGGCCTTCGCCTCAAACAAGTCTAGCGTCAACTCTCGCTTGGTTAGGCCGAACTGTCTGCGCAATCCACTGGTGATCTGTCAAGCAAAGCACAGGCATGCTCTCTGAACTATGGCAAGGGACAGGGCTTGGCTCCATTTGTTGCGAAGCGGTCCACCTTCCTGACCCGCGTGCGCGACCCGCTACCTCAAGCAGGGGGGAACGCTCTATGGAGAACTAAGTCTATAGAGTCCATGGAGGACACGGAATCCACACCGCGGATCTGAGAGAATGACCACATGAGGCCGAGCAGACGGACCACGTGGCCTGCAAACAGCTTGTCTTGGGACGTCTCCGAAGCACAGGTTCCGCCACGTCGGGTCAAGCTGCGCGAGAATCTGCAGCCAAGATGCCCACTCCGTCAGTGCACAATCCTGTGGACCAAGCGGAGAACAGGAGACCGTACCTGGGCTCCGCTCAGCCACCAAACTTGCAATTGCATGTTACTTTCTTTTCAAGCCATTGCCTGACTTGCCACAAAATCCTTCCGCAAGCGCCGCTTAACAGCAACTACCAAAGGTGGCAAGGTGCCGCAGGAGGCAGTCTCTCGCAGCTGAACTGTGGGGCATGTGCCTCCCCTCCTTGCAGGCTGGCTCATGGACAAAGCGATTTGATTGCGTCCATGGAGATCATTGGTCAGTTCTTGTAGAAAGGATTTTGAAAACAGCCCTGGCAAAGCTATCCTTGGAGGCTTCAGGACATTGCGATCTCGGTATCTTTGACCACCATCGCATGTAGCTGTGCCTTAGCCAGGCAGAGTCTCTACCATGTCAAATCCTGCAATCCCCCTGGACCTATCCAAAAAATATTCCATCAAAATGGAAAATTCTTCCTACGGAAACCACCACATCAAGGTCCCGAGGTCGCCTTTAGAGGCATCAACCTCAAGACTCAAGACCTCTCTTAAGGTTTGCAGAGCAATTTCGCTGCCGCCCAGTTACAACTGCTCCAGGGACGCCACTCTGCAAGGGTGCAGTCCTGCTTCTTTGGCGGAGCACATCCCAGAGTCTCCTTGAGGCCTGGCCAGCTCTCCGCGATGCAGGCAGCATTTGACATCCCGACTCTGCAAAACCCAGTGATGTGAAGAGCTTCTGCAAGACAAAGCAGCTTCACTTACACCCGGGTCAAGCAAACATGCTAAAGCTGGCCCCAAACTCTCAAAGGGTGGGCTCCCACTTACTGCTGCCAACCCAATCTGACGGCTGCCGGGCTGCTGTAGTTGCATAAGAGGCCAGTACCAGTAGGCTCCGCGGTGACCTGTGCCACGAGGCGTGCGCTCTCGTTTAACTCGGTTACATTACGTGGGCAGTGATTATGCCAGCATCCTGAACATGATCTTCAGGTGGCTTCAAAAAACGTTTTTGTCAAGGAGCCTCCCGGTGGCGATACTTCTGGATGTAGGTCTCGTCACACATACTCCACTCTGTCCACGAGCTGACGGCACAGTCGCGACCTGGGACGGGGGCTTCATGAAGCCCTTCCACATGTTACTGGAAGCCATGTTCGGGAGAGAGAAAACCTTGCGCCCACTACCACACGCCTGCAAAGTTCGTGACCTACACCACACACAGAAGGATCTCACTTTCAGATACTTTCAGAATCTTTCAGATGGGCCGCTGCCAGAGCAGTGTCCGGCATCGCAAGGCGCAGTTTCTAGGAGGTCAAGATCACAGGTCTCACCGCCGTGATGCGCCTCTACGTCGATATATCCTAGGCATGGACAGCAAAATCCAGATCAAAATGCCCACAGGCAAAAGCAGGTTCTGCATCTCAAGCATGAAGTAAAGGCAAGAATCTCATGCGTGTGTGCCGGCCCACGCCGCAATGAACGCTGCAGCTGGTCCACTCATGCCAGTCACCAACGTGACAGTCTGTGTCCTTTGGCCCACCACAAGGCTTTGTCTCCTGGAGCCAGTTAAGAGGCTGGAAAATGCTATGAGCTCTGGCAGCAGAGCAAACGTTTGCACAGGTCTTGACCACTGCAGAGATGCAATGAGCATGTCCTTGAGCGCTCCCCTGCAGTTCTTGCCGCCTTCTTGCGGGTGCTGCTCGATGGTCCGGGTCCGCATAGACTGGTCCTGGAAGAAAAAACACGAACAATGGCAACTGAAAACTGGTTCGACTGGCGTTTTCGCGGGTCCTTTTTGTTCCTGCATTCTGACCACTGTCCCCAGTGAGAGAACTTGCAATCCTCAGTAATGCCAGTAAACACTTCACACCGAACTGGAATGCTAGAGCCATCAGGTAGCTAAGGCAGCAAAGAATCAGCACCTTTTGGCCTGCAGTGGTCCAGGATGTATGGAGAAGTCTCCGTCAGTGCTTCATTGCAGGGCTTACCACAATGGTTCGCTGTCACCTGAACAGGAGTGTACAAGAGACTGCTCCTGGCCTTGAGCCGCAGCTTTACCGTGCACCTCTACTTCGCGATGCCGGAGCTGCAGCCCGGTGCAGCCCCCTTGGAGCTGCCACTGCGTCCAGGCGCCCATGGTACAATCCCGCGGCCTGAAGAAAGTCAAGTTCAGACATCCTCTGCACCCTCCCTCTCTGGCATGAACAAACAGTGCAGCAGCCGGTGCCAACGCTCTACTTTCTGAGGTGAAGGCTCGCAGGGACCACATGCCTCTAGACCTCCAAAGCACACGCCCTGCGGAACTTAAAGTGCTAGCATCTGACCAAGATGTGTTAGCAAATGAAGCATGCAAGCCTGGGCAGTTGTCCCACTGCTCCTGGAATCCATCGCAAACATGTTCCAAAGGAACGTAGAGCTCGCCGATGGCACTGAGATCAGCTGGGTTGATTTCTAGCATGTGCCCTTGGCTCCTGAGTCGAGCAGCTGAGACCATGCCAAGTCAACACAGTGCCAGTGAGGTCAGAAATGCGGATTGCAAAGGCATGAAAGAGCGCCGCACGGCACGTTGCATGCAAAGGCTCCATGCCGCCACATGTTGCAGAAAAGCCAACAGCAGCGGCATCCATGATGCCAGGGACGGCATTGCGGTCACCTGCACCAGACAACTTATGTTTTAAGCTATCTCGCTCAAGGCTCTCAAGGCTTCCGGCTACTGCCAGCCTGCGCCTGAAGCCCCAGCACATGAAAGAAACTAAATGAAACTTCTTGGACCTAGAAGGCAACCAGTCAGAACACAAAGAATGCAACACTGTCTCGGTGCGGCTGGTGAACCATCGATATAAGCTCAAGTCATAGTAAAGGGGTTTGAGATGGACACTAGAACTGTGACGACATTGGCGCTTCTTAGAGCATGTCCCGTGCTGCCACTAAGTACTACAGAGCACATATAATTGCAGACACTCATGCCCAGCGCCAAGCCCGCAACGACACGCCGCAGCAGAAGGTGCAAGCTTGTTTTTCTCTGCAGGGCATAATATAATACTATACCGATAATGGAAAAGAAAATGGAAACTACCATAATAGGATACATATATAACCCCATATGGAACCCCAATATACTATAGTGGTTTCCAGGTTCTTTTCAATTATCCCTATATAACCCCTATATTACACCCAGAGGGAATGCGTCCACTGACCAAACACCTCACAGCGAGCATTTTTTCGGCTGCTGGTTGTACAGAAGCCTTGGAGGCTGCATACGAGGACACTTCGCCTAGCGATGCATACGGAGAAAGCTCGCACCAATGGTGACCTGGCGGACGTTCCCCTGATTGCTGTTGAGGAACTTACTTTAAGTTACTATACTGGGAAACCATAGTAATTACTATGAATGTCGATTAGGTAACTTGATTTAGATTCCTTAACAGCAACCCAGTCCCTACTCTGATGAAACCTACATTCAACTCTAAAGTTGAAGTTGCTACACGCTGTTACTCCAAGCCTCTTCCCCTAATATTAAGCCCCCCACTCCCCCTGATATTTAATACTCCCCATTGTCGTATGGTATGGTATGTTGGGAGTATTTAATATTAGGTGGCGTGGGGGTGTTTAATATTGGGGGAAGAGATTATAGTCCCCCTTCAGTAGATAGAATATGGGGTTTATGGGGATCTTGATATAAATACCCAAAGCCAATATTCTTTCTACTTAAGGGGGACTATAGTCTCTAAGGACTGCCATCGTGCCTTCGGGTTGTAGTCGGAAGAGTGCGGGAGAGAGCCCAGGCCTACTGCGGGCGGCTCCGGCTGGGTCTGTGTTGCAGGCCTAGGTCGAGAGTTGAAGGTTTCTTATGGGCACCATATGGGGGTTCTCAATACTAAAGTTCATGATATATTGGGATCTATTTTGGGTCCCCCTTTTTTGGGGGAGCCTCCAGTTACAGCACAGGGCAAAATGCTTGCTGGGGCTTAGCAGCGAATGAGGGAATACGTTACGTAGGGAAAATATTCCCTTATTCCCTAATAACCCTAAACCCTAAACCCTATGATATGTTCCCATATTCCCTATTAACCACCAGTAGGAATGCTGGGGCAATGTCAAGTGCCCGGCTTTGCCAAGTCTGCCGCTGCTTCTTTGAGGCCAGCTTCGGCTTTGGCAACTTCGGCCTGTCTCAAACATGCCCTCTCACAATTAGTACTACTGTTACCATTATTTTTATTACTACTATGAGAAGTAGAGTCTTACTACTCTTACTATTGCTTTATTACTAGTATTATTGTTACTACTACTATTAGTAATGCCTTACTATTATTACGATTATTATTGTTACTGCTATTATTAGTACAGACTTAGTATTATTACTCATATGACTATTGATATTTTTATGTGTCCACAAGTTATTTTTGGGCTCTAGCATCCGCAGTAAGGTGGCAACGAGATGGCGCATGCCCCCGCAACATCAGTAAACATGGCCACAGTCTTTACAAGACAGAAAATGGTCAGTTGTCAGTGAAGCCTCCTTCTGCTCGGTGGCAGCTTTTCGGAAATCTGCGGCCTGAGGTCGACCGGGTGCAACAAGCCAGCTGCATATATGGGATACAGAAGCCATAGAACAGGAGCTACACAGGGTTAATAGGGACCATATAATATAACACAATTTATGTAGCCCTGTTTAACTCATGTTCTAAGGTTAGACGTATGGGCCCCCAATATGTGCCTTGTAGGGTATATAGTAGGCAAGAAGGATCCCAGGATTAAATGCCCATACTAGGGGCCCATGGCTGTAGACCTATGAGCAAAGTCTTAACTCGTAGTATCCCACGTCATAACCCCTTTTAAATCTCCCCTGTGCAATCCCCTATATAACCCCCCTCTAAGGAGTCTTAGACTATATTCATATAAGGACTAAGCAGGGTTGGATCCCAGGCCTGCTGCATCGCCTGGAGCATGAAATCGTCCTGAAGGCAGACATCTGCCAACGTCGGCAGACAACAACGATGGAACGTATAGGGATAACAAGGTATAGGGTTTAGAGTTATATAGAGACGAGTCATTGATTATTACGAATTGTATATATGGAGTGTATGGTGGGCTTATATAGGGACTCTGTGAAGAGTAGGTATCGGTAATAATAGGGATAGCTAAGAATCACTGCGAAGCACTCTTGGGCTTGACTCAAGGCGCCTGCAGTACTCAGGACTATACAAACTGATCTACGTTACCGACATTGACACCAGGGAGACATTCACTCTCAACCTGTTCTCTAGTCAGTTTGTGTACCAGATCTACAAAACTACGTGATAGAAGACGCACTTAGCTATCTTCTTCAAGCACCTCCGGCCAGTGCATCGTGGGCTCTGGTATTCCATTCCAACCCATTATATACAAGTGTGCGCTAATCATGCTGCATTGTATGCCATACATGATCATACGTATGCCCTCTGGTCATACACGCGGATTACTTACAGCTTGGCTCTACTAATTTCATAGCAGCACGAGCTGAGGATCTTCCAGAGGAAGTCCGGCTTCATAACCTTGGTGAAGCCATCTGCGGCCTGAGTAGCCGTGTCGCACCAGTCCACGCGATCACCCCCATCAGGGTAGTAAGTTGCAGTCCTCGTGCCATCGGGGAAGATTGCTTGCCTTCTAAGGCACTGAGCTCTATCTGCAGACGCTACCTCTACTGGAGGCACCAGTCGCAGGACGCGGCTGTTGCTGCATGGCCTTCGCGCTCTGCCTGAGCTCGACGCGCGGGCCCAACACATGTGCTAAAGGGGACCCGCAGGTTCCGCCGGGCGTTGACTGTGTGGCGTAATCGAATGCGGATGTTGCTGTAGTGGTGGGGTGTGAGGCGTAGGCTGGGGTCCTCGAGAGGTATGCCTGCGCGGTGGGCGAGAACCAGTCAGGTTTGGCCAAATGGGGTTCCCCACGCCGGTAGGTCGTGAGTGACGAAGGCGTCTTGTGGCCTTAAGCCTCTGCGCTCAAGCGCTGCTTCACCTGATTCTGAAGCACTTGCACGGAGGTGTAGCCTGTCGGTCCACACTCTCTACACCGCCACGCATAGCGTTCCAATTGCCCTCGCGCAAAGCGTCCAAGTGCACCAGCATCACCGCTGGAACCGGAGCTGGCCAGAAGGCCGCATGGAGTGCTGCGCCCACGCCAACGGATCTGTGCCTATTGGACGAGGCAAAAGAGGACTACGCCGAGCGGCTTTCCCTGCTCTAAGCACCTCCGGATCACGTGGTATACTTCATTTAGTACACACCAGACTTTGATCCTAGCAGGTTTCAACCAGCGCTGTGAAAAGGACAAGCGCTCCTCCTGAAATGACCTAGGGGCTTTTTCCACAAGGAAATACAGTTCCTACCGTATAGATAAGTTTGTCCTGTGACCGGTACTGCTGCAGCGGGGGAGCAAGCACAGACCACCTGCCTGACTTGTACTTTGGGGATTGAAGCTGGTCGACGTCGCTCCATCCCTGTTTTTCAAGAAACTGCTTAACAGTGTCAGGACCCCGGTGCTTGGGCACTGACTGAATACTCCAACGCCGCGGTCCTTCCCCGCTAGGGGCTACACCGCGTGGGCCGAGGCTGCTGCCACTTCCAATCCAGAAGGCGAGACAGGTTTTTGCTTCGTCGGCCTTACCAAGAGCTTCTTTCAGTAGGCTCTTGGATCTAAATCCTTGTTTGAAGGTTTGATTCACGACACAGGCGGTTCTTTCTGCAGTGCTGGAGAAATTTGATTAAAGAAAAATGAAAAATCCCCATGAGCCACTTACCTCAAGGAGAGACTTGACGTGTTCTTGGGGAATCTTGAGATACCCGACCAGAAGACTGTCATGCTTATCGTCTTTGACCTTGCAAGCGTAGGACCTGGCGTAGGCCCCGACAGAAAGGAAATCAGCCAAAACTTTGTTTGGTTTCTGTAGCATATGTTGCCAGACATCTGCATTAGCAATTCACTTGGGGATTGTGATGCGCACTGTTAGCTGCTCGGGGGCAAGCACGATGTCCCTTTCATCAACTGTAACCTGCGCAGGATTCGAAGGCCACGCAGGCAATCCGCTAGAAGGTAAGCGGAATAACGGCGCTCTTGGTTCAACCTTTGCCAACAACCTGTACGCACTTGTGAGTGGCGGACAAGCTGTCATCAAGGTCCTCTTTAAAGGGCGCAGGCAGGATTAACGGGCACTTAGCCGTGAGGCTATGTGTTTTGAGCATGACCAGCTCAGCTGCTTTAGACGCAGTGGCCGAGCAGAACCTTGCTTTTGGCTCCAAACCTTCATTGATTGAGGTTTGGAAGCCTTTCAACGTGATCTCTTGGCTATCACACCATTTTGAGCACAATTAGCCCGCAATCACAGGCACAGGATGCTTAGGGGCATCTTTGTTCTTTGGAGCAACCTTGAAAGGGGCAATAGGCGGCGCAGACAGAGAAGGGCTCTCAACCAAAACTCTAAGCCCATTACTAGGTGCAGCAACGGGGTGCTTGTTGTTGGGCTCTTGCACCCCCTCAGCAAACTTTACAAGGCTGCCGGTACTGTTGCTGTCTTCACGCGGCTCCTGCTCAAACCATATGAAAAGAGCTTTCAACTTCTGGATTCGGCCACTCGTTGCATTAACCTGCGGTTGGCGGACTATGTTTTGGATTGACGCTAACAACTGTTCTCCAGGGTCAAGAGGCACAGCCTCAAACTCACTGTCTGATTCCCCCTCCACTGCTTGCAGCAGTTCATCGTAGATGATCTGCTCTTTTCGTTTTCTAGTGGAAGGCTCCTTAACCCCTCCTCTATAAACAAAACTCTTGTACGGCTTGCATTCAGAAGAGTCAGGGAACTGTTCATGCATCTGCCTCGCATACATGTTGACACGTTTCCGCGCAGCGCGGAGCATCACATAAACCCAAAACCCGGATCTGGACGACAGGACTTTGCCTACACTTGTTCACATTACTCGTGCTGAAGAAACTCCGCAAAGAGTTCCATGCCAAAATCATTGTCTTGGCAGGCCATGCAATCAATTGCAACACTGCAGCTTTGAAACTCCAATGCTTCGATTGGAGGGCCATGGAATGCAATAAAGTAGGGTCAAAATCATCTCTCTTCATGATAATACTTGTCATTGCGAAAGAAGAGAACTGTGCATCGCCGCTTGACACAAGAGTCCCATTCACAAGCAAATCACTACCATTAACAGCATGTATCACGGCAACAGAGTGATTGACAGTAGGCACTGTGCGAGGTGCCTCTGCTGGGCAAAGTATAAATGCAAGGACGATTATCTGAAGCCTTCTTCTTGCAGCCTGACCCATGCCTACACCCCCTAAATCACCGCTACAAGTGGCACAAGGACGCTGTCGGCGCGGTGGCCCTGGCCGCGACCACATAGAGGTAGTCGTGGGCCATGGAGTAGTGGTCCACAAGAGTCTTGGCTATGGACTCGAAGTTTTTGGAATCTTCGGCACACGCCTTGACAACCATGGCTTCCTGACAAAGAGGCCCTGACTGCTCGAGCCATAGTTCAACACGCATCGGCTCAGATAGCTCGATGGTTTTGTCAAGCGTGCGAAGGAGTTTCCACCAACGCCGTCGTCTTACAGCATCGACTCTCCGGCTTGCTTAGAGAGCACTCCCTGCTTCTGTCCGGCTCGGAAGAGCGCGCGTGGAAAACTACCTCCCGCATTTTCTCCACGAAGGAACGAAGCTCTCCGGGCGCGGTCAGGAACTCGACACCGATGTCCCGTGCCAGTTCGAAGGCTTGGTCGCAATGTCCTTCTAAGATACGGTGGACCACTTCCGTCCTTGCCTTGCACGCATAGGACGTAGTTTCATCCATGTCTCCGCTCTTGGCTGACATGGATAAGACATCGCGTTTCTTGGGTCCCTTGAGACCCTTCAACTTGGATTTGGTTAAGCCTTTCCGCTTGCCGGTGGAACTGCTTGCCTTCTCTGCTGCACTCCCGCTTTCATCATCAGGAGCTTCGCCGATGCTCAGTATGAGGTTCATCATCGGCCTGGTGGTCCTATGATTCAGCATCGTCAGCGTTTTCGGCTGCTGACCCGGACGCTTTGATTTTGCGCTTGCTGCGGATAGCGCCCTCATACAACTTCAGGCGCATAAGCGTCCTGAATTCCCAGTCGTGGGATGAGGATGGGTCATCACTTCAGATGTATGACCCGGACCTGCTCTCCAGAGGAGTACCAGTGGTCCCGGTCTTGGGTTGGTACCGCAGACCAGCAACACTCATGGCTCTAAAGGAGCGGAGTAGTCTAAAGTAAGCTGGGGGTCGAATTGACGGGTCGATTGGTCCCGCCCGCCCCTGAAGACAAGACAGTACCTACCTTAGATACAGGTGCTACCACCTGCTCCGCTGCCAGTATCGGTAATACTAGGGATAGCTACGGATGACTGCGAAGCACTTTTTTCTTGACTCAAGGCGCTGCGTTCAGGACTATACAAACTGATCGAGGTTGCCTACACTGACATCAGGGAGACATTCACAATAGGGACTAATCCCTTCCCCATACTTTAATACAACCCACCCTAGTAATAAATAATAAATCCAGGGCCCTAAAAATCCCTCATGAGCATTTAAAAGGGGCTGTACTAATTTTAAAACGAGCCAGACCATAATGAATTAGGGGGGCTTTGAAGTCGTTAAGGGGGTATAATAGAAAATCCAAAGGAATTAGGGATCCCCTTGACATCTTAAGTTTTGGTTGATT